CCTACTGAAAATACTCCAAGTGCTCAGCACTAGACTCTTTGCCAGAGTAGCTGATTATTCGTGGAGTGCCACTTGTCAAAATGCCATCTCACTACTAGGTAGAAATCCTCCCCTTGGGACTGCCTCCAAGCTCATTGGATAGGTTAGGTGGGAAAAACTGCCCTCTTTCTGCCTAGGCTGTTCTTTTTCTGTGCGTTAACCAAACATGAAGTCTACAAACATTTCCTTTTGTTCCGTCCTCTTCCCCTCCTGGCCTTCACCCCACATGCTCAGGATGAAATACAACATATTGGGTATAAAGCAAATATACTCATTTTGTTTCTAGCTGGTCAAATATTCATACAAATGTGGAAAGACACCTACTGCACTGGGCCTGGATTGAGCCCAAGAACAAATGTTATAATAAACTCCACATTATAATAAACTTAGCAATACACTGACAATTTTTAAGAGCTTTCCCACCCAATGAATTCCTTAAGGTGGACTCACTAGAGACAGGAATGCTAGAATGCACAGACAGGGATAAATTAGCACAGAAAGATTAGATCGACAATAATTATTTTAAAAGCCAGAGGGCACTGATCAAAGAGGTAGGAAGATTTCCAACAAATAAGAGTGGAGTCTCACAGACCAGAGAGACAGAAGAAGGTAATCCCACTTATTTTTTGGAACCTGGAAAAATGACACCTCAAAAAAATGCAGGAAAAGAAATACAGAAGAGAGGAAAGGTTGTGCCAGGGAGACAATAAAAGGGACTAGAATTAGCAAAAGAGACATAAGAAATTGGGATGATTTTGAAAGCCTCAATACACAATTTTGAATGCAGTGTAATAATTTTTAAATCATAGCACTAGGTTTTGCAGAGCCATAAGGTTAAATACATGATACATTGTTAGTGCCATCTTTCCAGGATAGCCTGTCCCAATGATAAGAATTAGAAGTTCAGAGAGAAATTTTCTTAGTGATATGGAATGAAACTCTCTAGAAAAGAGTATTATTGCTAATAATAGCAGTGCCTGAAGGATTCTGGTCAAGATCTTGATCTGGTTGTTCTATGAACAGGGAGATTAATGGTTTTTTCCCTCAATTAATTTTTAGGGTGATACAAAACCAAACACAGCCATAAAGGATAGAGTTTGAAGAGAAAGGAAAACAGCATTAAGGGCATGTATAAATAGAAGCTCTCTATGTCCAATTCTATGTCCAATTTGTCCAATTAGGAGACAAAAAAGAGAGAGGATAAATCTTTAGAAGCCCACATACAGTGCCTTGGGATATTTCTTGATGAAATAACACATGTAGTTGAAATGAAGAAAGTGTTGGGTGATGGAAAGGTGTTAAGCTTACAAAAAATCCTTGTGATGGGCAAACGTGAGGAGAGATACTTTTTGGGACACAGAAGAGTTTCTGTTGTCAAAGCAATTAAGAATGGAGTGGAGCTAGAAATGGCCAGAAGAGCAATATTATATAAAAGTAAAACAGCAAAGGGGAACAAAATTGCATGAGTCATGGGGATGGAAAGGACAGGAGGAAAAGGAAGTGGGAAAGGATAAAGCAAAGAAATGGAAAACCCTTCAGAGAATGATTACGATTCTGACCTGCTGAAGCAGAGGGAGGGCATAAGCAGGCAGCTTTGCTCAGCAAACCACAGCAGGCGGGGGTGGGGGGCTGGGACTCCAGAGAAAGCAGGGCATGACGGGGTGGGATGGAGAACAAAAGGCAACCAGGGCAGATGGAGAAGGTGTAAAGATTGACCAGAGGGAATGGGCAGGAAGATCTGTAATCACTGCACGGCACCCCTCCCAAGCTAGGATAAAGCTTTATCTCTGCAGCTTTGCATTTCTTGGTTGTCAGGAAGTGAATGGAAACCCTCCAGCTGCTGGGTTGTGGCTGGCTGCTCTGGTCCCAAGGAACTGCTGTCACTGATGAGTTCTGCCGGAGCACAGTTGCGTGAAAGGAGCTTGGGTTAGCTTATCTGTGCTCCCGGTATTGAACTTCACTTGTATTTGCAGCATGTTGTAGACAGGGTGATGATATGGACAGTGTGGGCTGTGTATTGACATAGTTCTCCTGAGCCAGGACAAGCAATTTCAGGCTTGGCACAGAAGTTTAAGAAATGTTTTTAAGAGAAGCTTGTTTCATCTTCACAGCAGTCACTGCTAATACCAAAGGGGCACCATGCCAAGACTGGATTGTCTCATAATCCAACTAATCCCATTATGCTGAGCTTTGTGTGGTCCCTCAGTTTGGTAGCAGTCTCAAAAATCACTGTTTTTACATGCTGATTGCTAACCTGGTATGGGCTGAGCTGAACAAGGTGCTCTGATGCTTTAATGCACTGATATATTTGACTCCTCATCAAGCAGATCAGCAGAAATTTTTTTTTTACATTTTACAGTTTTTTTGAAAACATTTTATATCCAATACCTGCATCTTCTTTCAGCTCATCCAAATGCAGCTCCTCACCAAGCAAGGTCACATTCGTTGTGGCTGCTATTGTACTCTCTTGCTGCCCCTCTTCTGAGGCAAGTGTCTGGCACACAGGAGCTGGAGGGTCACTCTGCGTTGCTCTCGTGGCATCGTCACCAGTGCAGGCTTTCCCTTCGGTATCTAAAACACCAAATCATTTAATCTTAACTAAACCATGAGCAGTGAAAGCTGAAACTCCCTGCTATCCTCTTGAGAAGAGTGAGTCTCAAAGCTGCTAGTGCTCAGGGGACTGAGATTTGTCTTAGAGCAGCACCTGGTTTCTAAAAGTGCTGAGCATCTGCAATGCAAAACTTTTGGAGACCAGCCCATCTGGATACTAATATCCATGCAGTTTTCTCAGCAGGGAACCTTTTTCTGTGGGCCTCCAGCAGCCTGGGTAAAGGGCCATTGTGCATGTATGGGAAGGCCACTGTACTCTGTAAGCACCGGCTCGGGGGGAGATGAGTACAAGCATGGGAAATCAGAGGCCTCTGGGAGAAGGCAATTCCTTGCACAAGCAGAGCTCGTGCTGCAGTGCGTGCACAAGTTGGTCAGACGTGTCTGAGTTGTGTCAGGCTCCGTGCACAACACGCTGCCATCCAGCTGCCCCATCAGTAATGCCAGAGCCTTACTGAAGGCAAGGCTGCTAATATTCACCGCCAAGCTGTGGGTTTTGAGTATAGTTTTAGTTACTCAGCTTTGAAAAGCGTGTCCTGTGTGATTGAGCTGATCAGAAATTCAAATCCATCTTCATGCAGACCTAGAAACTGCTCCCTTTGCTTACTCTGAAAGATTTTTGTGCCAGTGATCCCTGCAGCTGTACGCATCTTGATGACTGAAGCTTTTCTAGTATTCTCCTATTCAGGCAAGAGTCCTCAGAATACAAACTATCCTTTTACTTCACAACTCTCTCAGAATTTAAAAGATCTATATCACTGCTGCAAACCAAAGCAATTACTTCCCGCTCTAGCCAGCGCTCCATGCTGATGGACATGTCTGCTGTCCACCTCTGACCTCCTAACTTGTATTTCTCAGCCCTAGACACTCCTTTCTGGAAGCTCCTGACAGGGCTATGTTTTCTTGCAATGATATCATGACAAGTTCTTTGAATGTTGATTTAAAATAGCTAGCATTCACAGCTACTCCTTTTTAATACTATTTGGACAATCTGCAGAGTAATTTCTTGCCCTTTTGGGTAAGGGTATCAGATTTTGGCCCAGAGATGCTGCGGAAGGGATGCAGTATTTTTGTATGCTGAGCTCACTCAGTCTGCCTCATAATCACGTTTGGTGAAAAGTTTCTGTTCTTAAAATAGCCCCTGCAGTAGCACAGTTGCTATGATACAGGGAAGGGGAGGGGGAAAAAGTTCGTTGCCTACATTTCAGCTCAGTGTGAAGGCAGCCTATACATAATCATCCGTGTATTAACAGCTGCCTGCATTATTTGACAGGGAGCCCTTATCTCTCAGTGCTGTAAGTACAGCTACATCTGATCAGCTTTGTGCTCACAAGGGGGAGAAATGCTGGGGGAAGCTCCCTAAATGTTTCCAAGGTAACTCTGCTTTGCACGTTCCTACATCCTTCGGAAAGGCAAGCTGCCGACAGCTGTGCCACAATGAAGCTGCAGTCAGAGACATGAGTTCCTTCAGATCCCAGCCAATGGAAAGTGTAATGACTGATGAAGTAATGACAAGCAGAAGACAGCCCTGTTGAAGAATTTTTGTTGAGGAGCATCTGAGACTCACAACAGTGATGTTCCTGGTTAGAAATGATCGGCTCGTGCTTAGATCAAAGCGGACGTGCTGCTTTGATTGGCAGTGGGTCCCAACGCCGTATTTTAGAGATAGTCCAAGGACAGGAGAAAGCACAGACCTTAGATCCACTGGTAAGGAAAGCAGCAGAGGGCCTTGAGTATTGCAAAGTAATCAGAAGAAGTAGGGCTGTAATTGAGTTGGGAATGAATCCCGCTGTATGCCAGACCCTGCACCCTATAACCTCTTACAGAGTGCAAGTTTGTTCCGTAGAGAAAAGCTGTATTTGCCCTGCGTGAGCAGAGCTGGAGAGGAGGAGACGGAAGGGGCCCAGGCTGTGCAGCTTCGCCTGTGTGCCATGTCTGGGCAGCTGGGTTTTGGGGTTGTGTGAGGAGAAAGGGTGACAGAACCTGTTAGGATGGCTCACCACCAAAGCAAGGACGGTGCAATTTCACCCCGGGCTGCTCACAGATTGATGCAGATTCTGCGCTAGCTTTGTGGTTTGTTCTGAGCCAAACAGTCCAGTTCAAAATGCTGCTTGACAGCCCTTGTACTATGAAACCGGAGTGTGACGCAGCTATTGTAAATGCATGAAGCAGATGTGGAGATTTCTCAGACTACAGCGTCATCCCAGTTTGCGCTATTTATGAAAGTGAGCAGGAATCAGGTGTCTGGAAGCGGAGTAGGGCCTGATGAAATAGAGGGATTTTAGGATTTACCGTAGTCTTTTAGCATAGTATTGCTGCTTTGACAATTGCAACTTACTGCATAAACGAGGACTTAGCCTTGAAACTGCTGCCACTTCAGTTCAGTCCAAGTAGGGCACTAATCATTTACTGGGAATTATTTGGGTCAATTTTTTATTCCAGTTAATAAGCTGCTTCTACTAATAATAAAATAACCCTGGAGATTCACAACACTCTGTAAAGAAAAATAACTTGCGGGTGGCTGCAATGTCCTTCAACTGACTGTTAGCCATTCTTTCCTTTCTGGGCAGCAGGGTGGTATTGAAAATTTGTTTGATGTTTATAAGAGCTCTATGCAACTTACCTGCAGACAGGTAAGCAATCTATTTGCAGCTGCCTTTTTGAAAGCACAGTTTGTCATCACTTCTTACTGGGCTATATGTATTTATTTAAAATACTTTAAGTTTGTTAAAATGACCTTGCAATTTAGCATCATCTGTCTTCCTCCCAGCCAGTTCTTTATGCATGCAAGAGGTTTATTGATTCATTATTATTATTATTACCTTTTAATGTGTTGTACAGAAATTTTATTTTACCGTGCTTCGGCAAAGCTCCAGATACCCATGTCTTCAAATTCATGGATTACAGGGAACTTCCATACTCCTAGCAGAAATGGGGTGTATTTTTCTATCCTGTAGTGCTTATATGCTAATAAGGCAACTAATTATCTAGAATTATGAGACACAAAGAGTTCAATGGACAGAATTAAAAATGACCTTTCTAAAAACTTCCATTTTAGAATAAACTAATGATTTGATAGATTTTTTTTTTAACTTCAAGATGAAACTCATATTAAAATATATCCAATAAAATAATATGAAAATTGCTTTACTGCAATGAAAAAAAATCCTCTTTAAAATGCTCTTTTTCTGACTCTTCAGTTGCTCGGTTACACTCCATCACCGAGTATTGTCCCACAGGCTATTTATAGCCATAGTATTTGTTTTATACAAAGAGACTCAATTATTAGTTTCAAAGACCATAATTCCATCTATCAGGTTGGTCAAACTGAAAAGGCCAATCTTTCTTCATGACAGTACTTTCTGCTATAAAGTTTTCAGAGTAAAGATGGATTTTTTTTTTTTTTTTTTTTTTTAATCTCTGTTTAGGTGGAAATGGCAATTGGGATGTTGTCCATAACCTTGGGAGCTCACCTGATCTCACATAATAGTCACCCAGATCTCGGTCTCCCTTGAGCATCTGTCAGGGCTTTGGAGCCGGGATATACAGAACTACAGTCCCTTGTGTGGGTTTCTGACATTTCGTCATCTTTCATTCGGTGACTTCTGCT